GTGCTTAGATATTTGATTTATGATGTTTAGGGACTAAATTCTCATTTCATTTCCTTAGTTAGCTGTTCCTAATGCTAGATCTTTGCACATCACTCTGGTCTAGAGCTTAGGCAAATCTCCACCCACAAGGTGTTTGATGAATTGCTTGAATGAAAGCTAACTAAGGGTTTATGCATTAATGACATGGGAATGTTTGTTAATTTCATAAATGACATATTAGAACTGTTATTTAATGCTCATTAATTCATATTTCACAAATGGGAATTTGGTTTGAAAGTGGATTAGTGTAGAGATTAATGCCTTTATGAGAGGATTAGTCTAGATTAGAGTTCTAAGTTGAAATGTTTGAGATCATGTGATTGCTTGCTATGTCTTTCTGTGTAAGATTCAGTCTTCTTGGTTGAGAGATTGTTTGGTCACTTATTAGGCTTGATGCATTATGCTTGTTGATATCTTGATTATATCTAATGGTTGTTAGACTTGATTAAGTGATTAGCAAAGGAATTATTGTCATGGGAATGAATTAATCTGCTTTTGAAGTCTAGACTAAAGAGTAACTTGCATTGCATTCTTGTTCTTAGCATCATGAATTGATATCTACAGCACCGTAATCAATGATCACATCTAGAGGTTTATCTTTTATCATTTGCTTAATCACCACATTCTTATTTAGCTTGCTTGCTTTGTTTAGTTCATTCATCATAGCTTGCTTGTTTCTTGTTTTATGCTTTCTTGTTACTTTGTTCACACCAAAACTCATCTTTGATCACTTGACTTAAGAGCTTATCACATAAGCTAGTGCATAACTACCACACATATGGATTGACACCCCTTATACTACTTTGACAAGGGGATTGATAACCTTTCTTTAGGCCTTGAAAACCTAAGTTATCAGTCAGGTAGGTCGGTCCACGATCCGACTTGATTGGATCAGAATCTTTTGTTTGCATCACACCTCTGATGGTCTCACCAGCTTTCATGGCGTGTTCACCTGCTGTGAGACCGCTCTTTAGCGTGTTTCTCTCATCCCCAGTGTACAGGTTGGGTCGACGGTTCAGATATGATATGGCCTTTGTTTTTCCTCTGACTTTTGCGAAGGGTCATTATCATCTGACACGTGTAAGAATAGTGCATTAAATATCAATATCTTTGGTTTGTAAGGGTATGAACAATTAAATCAGACTAAGGCATATTCCTATTGTTGGATGGAGGGAAATTTGAACAGTGTTTCCCGCTCGTAAAATTATACATACCTTGCCTGGATCCCTCGATACTGGGATCGAACTCTTGGGATTGTCTCAATGGCTTACTCCATTCTCCAGGGTACTTATGCGGGTCACATTTCTTTATATCCTGACCGTTCCTGATTACCAAGCTTACGCCTAGGACATAGGAAATGTGACTTCTCCTCGTCTTGACCATTCAGTTTCCGACCTTTTTATTTCTGACACCGTAGCCTGCATTTTCAGATACGAAGAATCCGGGAACAGATGGCCTATCGTGCCGGATCTCCCGAATCTAAATAGATTTGAAGCTCGATGCTATATGCTTAAGTTATATTAGACCGCAACCCCAATATGAATCCTAATTTGACTAAGGGGACCATATCTTTAAAAAAAAACTAGAGACGTCACGTGCAAACACGTGGTTCGTCCACGTAAGAAAAATCGAATTTATTCCCAACATAAATTTTAGTAGCATTTTTATTATATAATAAAAAAGTTAGTAAATAATACAAATCTTAGTAATTATTTTTCAAATAATTATGAATAAAAAGTAATATTTGGTTACCTTTCTCAGAAATTGATTTTATTTTAAAAAACACTAATTTCATTTTTTATATTCTGTTAAAATTCTTTTTAGGTGATTTATAAAACGGTGACAAATAAACTGTGGTTTCATTTTCCATATCAGTAGTTTCTTTTCAAAACTCACGATTTTTTTTTTAATTTTTAATATTTTATTATCCATTATATTTTTATTATTTTAATCCAAAATTTTCAAAAAAATAACTTTTGGATTTTACCAAAAATATCTCCAACTTTTTGTTTGCCAAAATAATTTCAAAATTTTTATTCACAAAAAAAACTAACTTTTTATTTATTATGCCATTATGGTCATATCGTAAGTCAACTATAATTGTTGACTAATAAGAGATTTAAAACGGTTTGGTCAAAAACAAAATTAGAGATTAAACTAATTAGTCAACGAAAGTTGAAGATCTATTTTATCCACGAAGTAGTTGGCCGTTTTTTTTTGTTAAAAGTTGTGAGTTAAGGATTTTTTTTTTGGCATTTTTCTTATAGAATTACTGATTTGGGATAAAGGTTTCGTACGACACAAATTAAAAAATTTAAAACCTTTTCAAGAAACCTTAGTTTTCCTGAAAAAGGGCAATACTAGGTCCAACAACGAATGTAGCGAATGCTCTTCTAAAAGGGAAATGGAAGTTATGTGATTCGGATGATAATGGATACGGTTAGTTCTTAACTACGTACATGTACATTTGAAATTATTTTCAATATTAGATCATCTGAGAATTAGTTGGCGTTGTTATTCACATAGTGGAAGTGGATATAAACATCATTCTGATGGGAGGTCGGAGAATATAGTACTTTTGGGGTTTAAGATTTCAAGATTAACATATCGCATCGAGGGAGGTGGATAAATTGCAAAAATTTATCTAGAGCAAAGGAGTTGAGAAATCGTATTGCTAACGAGTATAATTTAGACATGGGATCTGTTTCATTTGAAATGTCCTATTGGTTTGATGATACTCTAACTAAACTTAATGGGAGGGTAATGACCCATGTAAGATTGTGATAAACTCAGAATATAATTTTTTTATATGCTCTCCATAAGTCTCAGAAATCTATGATTATATATTTGCGACATTCAGAGAGGTAATGGGTTGTGGAATGGTGATTATCCAATGAAAAGAAAGTGTAGAAGCTGAATTTGCAAGAGAAAGAGGAAGTTCAGTGCGTTTAGGTTACTCCAACCTCATTTCTTCACGTTTGGCAGAGTGACTCTCTGACAATGAAATTGATCTGATGTAATCTATGATAGAAACTAATAGCACACGCAGAGGAGATGAAAGCTGCTGTGGCCATATCTAACGATGTACAGACAATGAAAGAAAGTTTGAATGATAAAATTGTCCCAAATGGTTATGTGGTATATTATGAAGGAGGAACAGAAGGGCTGATGCAAGAATCAGATGAGGTTCAGGATGAGGATGAGAAGGAAAATTGGTGAGTCAGGATGATAAAAAGATTTGGTGATGATGACGATTATGCATTGGATGATTACAATTTTGACTATTGGAATGACTGTGATGTAAATGATATTTTTGATGATGGTTATAATGATGAGCTTATTTATCAAGATGTCTTTAACTACTATTTTGTAAAAGCTAATTTTTCATATTGGATCCCATCTTCTCATACACTTCAGTTGATATATTTATGAAGGAGAGTAATAACGTGTTGTAATTTTTTCTCTTAACTATAGTTTTTCCCATGTTTAAAATATCGTTAGGCGCTAGTCACGAGGTCAAGGTGTATAGTGCCTAACAAAAAAAATCAGAGCTTAATTAGAAATTAATCAGAAATTAGTTTTGGTGTGTTTTCATTGTTTTAAACCTGTATATATATATTAAATATGTCGAATAAAATCAATAATGCAGTTTAGTCTAGTGGTCTTTGATATGTTATTTGGGCTTCAAAAACCCAAATAGTTTTTTCATATTCTTTTTTAATAAGTAAGGAAAAGACAGTTTTACCTTTGTCTTCTTTCTTGTCGACTTTTGCAACCCTAAATTGTACCGTCAACTCAATTTTTTATATTTTTTCTCAGTTTTGACTACTTATTCTTGTGTTTTTTACCAAATTATGATAAATTCATAAAAAATGAGATTTAGAATTCAAAACGTCCCAAAAATAGCTGATTCTCTTATTTCTCGGTTCAGGCAGATTTTAATCGCTCTGCCACTTAGCATCGCCGATCAAAATGAAATCAACTCTCTTCCGCCAACCGCCTAGGCGCCCAGTTAGTCGGCAACTTGGGCGATATTTCAAACATGGGTTTTTTTCTATGTTCTCGGTCGTGAGGCTGTCTAGGCACCGATAAATGTTAGACGGTGGAGCTCCGCCGCAATTACACCAAAATCAGACGAAGAATTAAAAAAATCAAAAAAAAAACTCTAAGTTTTGTTATATTTGGCTCGAAATATGAAGTTGTAGGCTAAATCTATCGTTTCTCCTAAAACACATGATAATCTGAAGTAAAATTGATGGAATTCTGGCCATAGATCAGATTTGCAGAAACCTAATTTGCATGGAAAAATATGATATTATAATTTACTGTTTTGTCTTTAATGCTAGTTTTAATGAAAAAACATAAACACACAAAAGTGAGACTCAACATATTAACCAATGTACTACAAAAATTTCATAAATATATTGTGCTGCTATAAATATATAATAACTACTAAATATGATAATTTTAATATTAATTAAATAGAATGTTAAACAATTTAAAACTAATTCCCAATTAATCAATAATGTTTTGTTTAAGTGCTAAGCAGATCTCGGCCGCTGACTAACACCTAACACAATTTTGAACATGAAGTTTTTCCTATTAGTTTTTTCAAGTAAGGTTTTTAACAAGTCTAATATCTTATGCATTTTAATACTATTTCATTATAATGGACATCCAAAAAAGGTGTTACAAATAATTAATATAGATGTCCATTATAAAACTCATATCATAAAAAAGTTTAAAATATTATTTATTCCTTATCCTTTTAATTTTAATTTCCTTTCTAAAACTTGGTAATACTCTAGACCTTTCACTACTCATAAAAAAAAACATCACAATATCCTCTTCTCTCTTCCCTTCTTTTCTTTTCTCTCTTTCTTTCTCACAGCCATTTTTTCTCTTTTTTACTCATATCTCGACGGTTTTTAAAAAGCCTACAAAATCTGGCTTTTAATTTATGAAAGTCATAGTTATTTTTTTAAGTAAAAGTTTTTAAAGATAAAAAGCATACAGCCGAAAATGCTTTCCAAGCATCCCGGAAAACAAAGGAAAAAAACAGTTGAGTTACATTCAGGACTTAAAAAAATAATACAGTCAAAACAGCTAGTTTGGGTAAATAAAATCTGTAGACTGTAAAACCTATCAAAGTCTCTACAGTCCGGCCAATCAGAGCCTTAGTCTGGTAAAGCAGTTCCTCGTTCCAGATTGTTTTTAATCTCCAGTGTGTATTTCCCAAAAGCACGCTCAATTTTCTTGTTGAAATGCTCGTTTCTGTCATTGATCGAATCGATATCCTTCTCTTCCCGGAACTTCCTCCTCCTGCTAAAGTCCTGTCGCTTTTGCTCTCTGTCAAGGAGCTCCTTCGCCATCTTATCTATCTTATCTTTTGAAATTTTCGGAGCCTGCAAAAGATTTAGACATATGAGACTCTCTGCTAAAGACTATACAATTGACCATAACGACAAAATCACAAACCTTCCCGTATTGCAAGCTTGAGGCCTCGCGGTAAAACTCTGGATCAGCTGCTCTCATTCTGTTATACTCCTCAAGATCAACCTGAATGTTCTTTGTCCGCTTCTTATATGCGTTGTACAACGTCTTCTGGTTAAAGACTAAAGAAAGATACAACATTTCACGCATTAGCCTCACAATCAATGAGAAACAAACAAACAATTCATTAGCCTCACAATCAATGAGAAACAAACAAACAAATCAAACTTAGTGAGAGTAATACGTACCATCCCAACCAGAAGGAGTAGGTTCCTTTTCCCATTTTTTGTATTTTGTTTCCGCTGCTTCTTGAGTATCGAGCATGTAAGCCTTTGTCATATCTAAACCGTTAGCATCGAGAAGTTTCCCGATTTTCTTCCTCCTCTCCTCCAACCATTTCTGTTTTGAGATGCCTTTCGTCTCTGTTGGTGCTTCCATTTTCTTCTTCTCAGTCCCGACATCTGTCTGATTGTATTTTCTTGCTTGATTCTGCAAAAAAGCGGGGGCAAATCAACGATCTTAAAAGACAATTTTAAAGAGTTAAACTAATAACGACTGTACAAAGAGGCTTACCATCTTAAGTCTCAGCTCAAACAGTTTCTTCTTCCTCCCTGTAAGTTGGCTCACGTCTACTTCAGGTTCTTGGTTATCCTCTTCTTCATCTTCTTCTTCTTCTTCAGAACTCTCTTCCTCTATTCTTTTAGCATCAAGCGACTGCTCACGACCTTTAGCATTAGGGTAACCATGCCCACCGATGGCAGCTTCAGCTAATCCTTTTGGCACACGAAAAAAGGAACATAAGTCTCAGAATAACAATTTACACTCGCTTCTTACCAGACTACACGATTATTTCATCAGACAGGACATCGCAATGACGAATAGAAACTCTATATTCGTGCCTGCATAGAGTGGGTGAATCACAAATAGCATTACCAGCAACTTTATGTGCAAATTTTACTCACAACTCTTTAAGTGGATAACCTCTAGCAAATAAACAATAAACCTCAGAGAGCTACTGCAAAGACCATAATTACTGGAAACAAATGCTCACATACAATAGATTCATCAAGAGCAGCTAAGCCACAGAAAAGAGAACAAAAACTAGTACCTTGCTTCTCCAATATAGCCTTTGCTTCAGCAATTTTCTTAAAGCAATACTCCACACACTCGTGATAAGGATTCGAAGCGTTTATACAGTCCGGGTGCACTCTTCTCTCGCTATCCATATTTCACGGCCTGAGAAACTGTTCAAAAACCAATTAATTGAATGTGCCGCTAGAAATTGTATCCAAACACAGCACTGAGATTTGAGAATTATAAACCAAAGAGGGAGAAGAAGCATAAACAGAATTCACTCATTAAGCTGCAACCAAGATCTAAACTTGATTCGATAGGGAAAAATCTCCTAACTTAATTGCAAATTCAGATAAAGATAAAGCTAACCAATTCAAAACCCTAAAAGATTGAAGATTCACGACACTGTAAATCACTATAAATCTCCATGGGTTTCCTGATTCTGTGTACGAGAAACCCATTTGATATCCGAAAACCTAAGAGTAGTGAAAACAAGTAAAATCTCATCCTCGGTTTCAAATCGAACCAAGACGATTCAAAAATCGATGAAACAATTGAAACACTCAAAGTACGGTATCAAATCCAAAATGAAATCGCATCACGAACGCCAACCTGTGAATTAAAACAATTCAGGAGGAATCCGCTGTATCTTTATGAGAAGAACACCAAAGAAATTCGCTGACGACGAGCTTCTTCTTCTCCCCTCGTTGGAGAAAAATAAGAAAGAAAAAAAAAAATAGGAAAAGGAAACAAAAAGTAAAGACCGATTAATTGATGGGCCACTTTATAAATTTATCTATGGACCTCTTGAATATGATTTGGGCCAACAAAGAGAAGAATGGTTTCGGTTTGGACAAAAATACTATAAAAAAATAAAAATTAATGAATTTAATTTCAAGTAATATTATGTTTAATATTTTTAAATATAATTCTTATGAATTTAATTAAAATTATTTTTATATTAGTTGGTTCAATTAACTAAAATAATTCCATTTGGCTTCATATAATTTGAGTTTGATTCGGTTTGGGATTGGACAATTTGGTATAAAACTTTCTATTTTCTAATCCAGATTAATTTTTAGTTATGTTCAAATTAATTAGGTTTAAAAAATTGTTTCAAATTGGAAAATTTTGGTTCGGTTCAGTAATTTTACATAGCACTAAAAGCAAATATTAGAAACAGAGCTTAACATGTTTACCAACAAAAAAAAAGAAAAAAAAAAAGAAAGGCGAAAGCATTGAAAACAAAGTCAAAGCTAGACTAATGTAGCTAAATGCTTATCACATCTAAAAGAGCATATCCAATGTATTTCTCCATTTTTATCTCTAAAATAGAGTAATTCCAAAATAAAGTTGAATTTCTCTCTAATATATTCCTCTATTTTCAACTAAAAAAAATATTTTAAATATATTCTTCCTTTTTATTTTATTGTTAATTACTAATAATGCATTTCATTTATAAAAATTACGAGTGAACCCATTTATTTTTTTCTGTTAACACTTTCATAAATTATAATATTATTTTAAATTCAACTACTATAATATAAAAAATAATATTACACACCATCTAAAATAACAAAACAAGATACATTTTAATTTGAATATCACAATTGAATAAGCAACTTTTAGAACAAGAAGACAAGTGTCCAAAGACAACAACATTTGGATATTTTAAGTAAGAACTATGCCTTGAAAGAATTTAAGAAAGAAAACAAATTTTTGTTTCAAGACTTGAACTCGATACAAGATCCGAAACTTCGTGCTTATGTTCAGATTGAACAAACACGGATTTTATAGAAAAGGACTGAGCAACAACAATATCAACAAAATCCGCCTCAATCTGGTTTGTTTGGACAATATTTTAATGATCTTGGTAAATCTGGAAGCAGTTTACCGGATTTTTATTAATCAGTTATTGTGTTAAATTTATTTTATGGTATTTATAATTTCAGTACTTCTTATGTATTTTAATTTTATGTTATTTCTAGTTTCAGTTCATTTTCTTATATTTTCTATTTTAAAATTTTAAATTTATCTGTCTTTTATTTTAAATTAAATATATATAATATGAAGGATTAAATTATAAATTAAAAAATATAGTTTTAAGAATTAATAAAAAGTGAACGACTATTGTGTAAATAAAAAAATTTACCTGTAAAATGGAGTTGAAAATGAGGTTATTCCATATTTGGAGAAAAAAATGGCATTCCCCCATTTTGGAGGTGAAAATGGAGTAGGATTGGAGAAGAATTTCTCCCAAAATGACATTTGAAGAAATAAATGAAATAGGGTTGGAGATGCCTTAAAGGAAGTAACTACACAAATGTTTTTGTCCTATAGTAAAATATGTCTCCTCAAGAATCATGTTATCACTTGTTTAAAGTTCATTGTTAAACGTTTTATTTTGGTAGATTTGATATATTGTAAAGAGAATACTCAAAAATCTTATAACATCTTATTTCAGACCATTTAAGTAATTCTTACAAAACCAAAAGTGCAACACAATCATCTTCAACTCAATGGCATCCCCTCAAAATCATTTAGTTACATTGTCACTTTTACTTGATAAAAAGATCACACAAGTTATAACCAACAACTTGTATCATATCAGAAAATGGTGGTGGAAATGAAATGAATTCAAAAACAATGTACACAATTAGCAAGTAATATGATCAATTCCTTTGGGTTTCATTCATACCGTTTGATGATATACTATTGAATGAATGGAAACACAGAAATCAAATTATTAAGTTCGGTATTACAAAACAGATTATTTTACCGAGTGAAATATCCCTTCTTTATAATTTAGCTCTCTGTCTCGGTTCCCAATGGCGAACCGCTGGTTCCCGTCTGATGGTGCTTCTGCCCTGAATCCACTGCTTGCCACCACTGGTGGAAGCCCCCATCGCCCTCCTCCGTTACCTCCTGATCCCCTTGATGACCCCACCTCTCCTTTATTGATTAACCAGTTCCCTCCCTTAGCTACAAAATCTTCCACTACTTCTCCTTCCCCTTCGGAAACTGCTCCTATTGAGGAGTCTACCCCTTTAGTCACTATTAAGTCAATAGCGACTGACCCTCAAACTGCTGATATTGACATGACGGAGGCTAGCCAGATTGCTTTCGAAAAACCAAGATCTACTGTTCCTAACCTTAGATCTGAAATTTCGGATGCTGAAAATTACAATGTTGTTCCTCCCAAGAACTCCTCTCCCCTCCAAACTAATAGAGCCTCTAGTATGAGCCATCCGCCTTCTAATCCTTTAACCCCTACTAAAATCCTTGCCACTACTGCTTCAGAAAAGGTTCTCCCCTGCTCCAATGCTCCCCTGTCTTCTGCTAAACTTTCTGTCCCATCCATAAACAACCGTCAGCTCCTAATCCAACCTCTCTGCCTACCTTAGCTGATAAGATTCGATCTTCTGAGGACAAATCTCTAAACGAGTAGCTCCTCTTAACATTTCTGAACATGGGAGGCCTAGGGTTCTCATTCCAGATGATGTTTTTGAATTGGGTGCTGAAATACACAAAGATTTCATTATTTGCTATTTCAATGGCAGACCTCCCCCTATAGCCAAATCCAAAGCGTCCTAAGTCCCATGTGGGGTAGGAGAAGGCATGTTGAATTCCACAACAACCCCCTTACTAGATCAATGCTTGTTAGAATTCCGAGTCCATACCTAAGGTTGAAAATCCTTGAGAAAGGAATTTGGTATGTTGGAGATTCGATGTTTCATACAGCGCAATGGTCTCCGAATCCCGTTTCTGAAACCTTTGCTCCCACCTCCATTCCAATTTGGGCTCACCTGCGTGGAGTTCCTCCGGATCTTCGTCATTGGAAAAGGCTCAGATTGGTTGCAGGTCTTGTTGGAGAGCCTGTTGAAACAGACGATATTACTAAAAACTTGGCTGGTTTAACTCTCTCGCATGTTAAAGTCCATGTAGATTTAACGAAGGATCTTCCTCGGATAGTTGAGTTTGAAAGGCAAAATAGCCAGATTGTTGAGTTAAATGTTGATTATCCTTGGCTGCCTTCTACCTGCTCCACTGTTCAGAGCTGGGTCACATCGCTCGAAATTGTCTAAAATTGCCTCCTCTTCAGCCAGCTTCAAATGATCCAATCTCTGCTGCTACCCCTAAAGGTCAATCAAAATATCTTAGAAAGGATGCCTCCACTAATCCTACAAAGAAAGTTGTTGAAAAAACTGGTGATGCCTCTGCTTCTAGTTGCTCTGTCCCCACTGTGCTTACTTCTCAAGCGCCGATTGTATCCATTGGGCATGTTTTCAAGTCTACCCCTCCATCTGCTCCCTCTGCCCTCAGCATTCCTTTGCCTCCTGGTTTATGCTTCTAATTTAAGTGAGGAAATAAGTGACCTGTGGGTGGAACTGTTAAATTTACATGTGTCTCTCTCTCTTCACGATTGCCCGTGGATTCTGGGTGGAGATTTCAATGAGATCATTCATCATATCGAACACTCTCTCCCGGAAATCAATTCTATTACTCCGCATATGGCTGACTTCAGAGACACTCTCCATCAGATGAGAATGTTTGATCTTTGATTCCAAGGTCCTTTTTTCACCTGGTCAAACTGCCGTCCTCAATTCCCAATTGCAAAAGAGTTAGACAGGGTTCTTGTGAACAACAACTGGATCTCCTCATTTCCCAATAATGCTGCTACCTTCATTGCCCCTCTCATATCTGACCATAGCCCCAGCCTTGTTACTCTAGCCAAATACCTCCCTCAGTTCGGTATCCGACCTTTTAAAATTTTCAACTACTTAACCAAACACCCAAACTTCCAATTTGTGGTGGATGAAGCGTGGATTCAGGCTGGAAGCTTTGCTGCAAATCTGACATATTTGTGCTGAAAGCAAAAGATCATAAAGAGAGAGTTGAAAAAACTAAATAGAGAGAACTTTTCAAAAATTCAAGAGAGAGTGAGTGAAACTAACAAGCTGTTACAAATTATGCAGGTGCAAGCTCTTCATCGCCCTTCTCCGCAAAACTTCCAAGAGGAAAGAATCCTCCATGAGAAATGGAACTTCCTAAAAGAAATTGAAGTGAGATACTCTAAGAAAAAATCAAGAATCCACTGGTTGAAGGAAGGAGATCAAAACACAGCATTCTTTTTCAGGGTGTCGTAAACAAGGCATAGTTATAATGCTATCAGATCCTTCTCCTTACCTTCAGGTGCAGTCATTTCTGACCCTCAGCAATGGGCGTCCATGCAATATCTCATTTCAAAAACCTGCTCGGGCCAGATATTCTTCCGCAGATTATTCTCTCCTCTCTTGATTGGTTTCATTCTCTGATCCCTTTTAGATGCTCCCAAGCTCACCTTCAATATATGACTAAACTCCCTTCCTCAGCAGAATATGTCAAATGTTTGTTTAGGCTCAACCCCAATAAGTCTCCGGGTCCAGATGGTCTGACTTCTGGTTTCTACAAAGCGGCTTGGACTACCCTGGGGGTTGAGGTTGTGTCATCGGTAGCTAACTTCTTTGTCTCCTCTTTCATGCCTGCTTCTCTCTTTCTTTCATAACACTAGGGGCTCTTGACTGGGTATTCCCTGCAATACTCTACTTGCAGACTTGTCAAGACATGGAATCTGGCAACTGCCTCCAGCCCGATCAGAGAACCAAGTATCTGTCCAAATAATTTTAACAACCATTCAACTTTCAAATAAGGAGGATCAGTACACCTGGGAGAGAAATGGGACACAATATCATTGTTATGCTACTGGTCATGTTTATAATATTCTGAGAGGAGATGCGCAACATGTACCATGGTATCGGGTAATCTGGAATCGAGGAGGGATTCCAAAAAACAACTTCCTGTCATGGTTATTCTTGCTGAATAGATGCCCAACTTGAGATCGGATCATTAGTTGGGGCCTTCAAACTGACACCACCTGCCTTCTCTGCAATCAATCGGCTGAATCCAGGGATCACTTTTTCTTTGAGTGTTCTGTCGGATGGTCAATCTGGTTACCCATGGAAACTAGGTGTGGTCTCCAACCACAATCGGTCTTGGACTAACTCACTAAACCAACTACAGCTTCATGGTTCAAGGAGATGAAGAGACTCACGATACTAGCTTGGCAGTACTCGATTTATTCCATTTGGACAGAGAGAAATCAGGAGCTTCATCGTAATAGCTTTCGATCTGTTGATTCGATCCTCCATCAGAATGACTTAATTATCAGGAATCAGATTGCATGTTACCGTGATACAAACCAATTATTGGCGTCGTCGATGCTACAATTTTGGTTCTCTTCAGCATCATGATCATCAACCTCTCTAATTTATGACTCTGATAAACCGTTCATGGCACTTTTTGTTTATTTTCTATTTCTGATTAGAATCCTTCCTTTTGGGTTTTGTAGATACTGGACTGGGCCCATTAAAAGGGTACTTACCATACTATAGCCTGGCTGGTATGCTTTTATATGATGATCATTATAGGCTGGCTTGTAATGATCTTACATTTTTCATGCTTTTATATTGAAAATCCTTGTTACAAAAAAAAAAGTTAGGTATTATAGCTCTGTTTTCTTTAAGTTTGTCTACTAATATATCATCTTACAGATTTATAAACTGTGTTGATCAAATGTTATATTTCAGTGATCAATTACCAGAATTATACTTTCAACATGCATATTGCTGTTTCTTTCTTATCTAAATTACATTCAATAAAGCAATTAAGAAAATGTAAACAGAAATTCCAAGGAAAAACCAAAATAATTTAAGGCAAAGCAAAAACAGTCTAACACATAAATAGATCTTCTCAGAGATAGAGAGTAGGAGCAACCTTAAAAAAATAGAAGATATTGAGATTGTGCATACTTTGGACATTATTGTTTTATAAATCACAAACAGATTAAAAATTCTTCAAATCTGTATTGGTGATAAGCATACACAATAATAATAATAAAAAAACATTCAAGTTTTCTTCAGCGCTCTAGAGCCGCTTCTATTTTACTCAAATTTTTTTATCACATTTACTGTTGGGATTAAGAATGTTGAGATCATGTTTTTTTAAGTGAAGTGCGTTTGTAACTTTCAGGAAAAAAATCAATACAAAATCTTTATGATGAAGATTTGTAGAATAAGTAATAAATTACAAATATTGAGAGTATTCCACTAAAAATGCGTTGTTTTACCCATCAAAAGTACCAGAATCCGATTATCGTCAGATGCAAAATCACCATTTGAAATAAATAATAAAATTGATTTCAAAAACAAAGAAATATTTTGATAGAGTAAGACAATTTATTAACAAAAGAAAAAAACTAAAAATAGTAAAAAAATTTGAGAATTCAAATTTATGAAAACAAACAATTGCATTTTTTCCTTTAATTATTTATGAATAATCAATTTATGCTTTTTTAATTGTGAATCATAAAACATTATTTGTAGAAAACTTAACATAGATAAACTTAACAAGATCTTAATTTAGAATTTAATTCTACAAATCATAATTATGCGGGTTATTAATTTTAAAATTTAGATATTTTACTATTTTTATGCATATCATGCAAAATTTAATCTAGTTATAATTGTTTTTGGATAGGACAAACAAATTATTTGTTTCTATAAATCACTTTTTATTTCATTTAAGAAAAGTTACGTGCTAGTGCATCTTTTTGGTCAGAAACTTCTAAAATTTTCAACACATATATGGGATTAAGAAAGTTTCTAGAAATGTAATTACATCCTATACCAAGTATTGTTTTTCATGATAATCATCACATGAAAACTACTCATTCTTAAATTTTTAGTGTCTCTTAGCATTAATTAAGTAACTAACCATGCTTTCAAAACAATACAGAAGGAAGCCAAAAACAAAACAAAACAAAACAAAAAGACTTTCACTTTCACTGTCATCTAGACTGTCCCTTTAATCTTCCTCTGCTACAAAGTTCATTTATTACATCTGAGTATGCAATAGCCTCACTGTTAAGTTCTTCCTTTGATTCAGTGTATTCCTCCGTCTCTGCCTGCAACTTCTGCTTCACCGATCCGAACTTTCCAGAAACTTTCTCCAACAATTCTTCAGCTTCACTCAGCTTACCATCTTCCATAAGTGCAGTGATAATACTGTTGTATGTAAACCGATCAGGTTCTATTTTTTTCTCCTCCATTTCTGATAGAAGATCAAATGCTTCTTTTAACTTCTTGTCCTTGCAGAAAGCTGAGATCATCGTGTTGTATGTAACTGTATCGACCTCTCTCTCTTCGATAAGCGTATTGAAGAAATTCAGAGCCTTCTCTGTCATACCCTCCATACAAAGACCATTCAGAAGAATGTTGCATGTGTAGTTATCAGGTTTGAAAGAGTGATTGATGGATTCGTTATAAAACTCGAATGCTTTCTCAACCTGTCCTTCTTTGCAGTATCCGAGGATGATTGAATTGAAAGTAATGTCACCAGGAAGCAAACCACTCTCAGCAAGCTCATCGAATTTCTCGATTGCTAGCTCCGTTTTTCCATTGTGACATAGACCTCCAATTAAAGAGTTGAACGTGCTCACGGTAGGAATAATCTTCATCTTCTTCATTTCCTCCCACATCTCCAAAGCTTTCTCCACCTTTTCTTGCCTGAAGTATCCCGTGATTAAAGTGCCATAACTAACCTCGTCAACAATATATCCTCTCTTGCGAGCGCTATCCAGCAAATTGCGAGCTTCATCAACTTTCCTCTCTTTGCACAAACCATCAAGAATGGTATTAAGTGTAATGGTATTCATCTTAATCCCTTTCTGTCCCATCTCACGCATCATCTCTAGAGCACTACTCAAATCGCCAGCTTTCAAATACCCATTGATTAGAGTATGATAGGTAACTCTATCAGGAGCAAACCCATGCACTTCCACCAAGTTCTTAACCTTTCTCGTAACCTCTTCCATCTTCTCTTCTTTACAAAGCCACTTAAGAGATATGTTATGAGTCACTTGGTTAGGTTTAACTCCATGATTCTCCATTTGCTCCATTAACTTCCTAGCCTCGGAACTAAGCCCCAACTCGAAACATCCATCAATCAACGTATTGTAAGTAACCACATCTGGAAGTAACTTCAACTCCTTCATCTCATCTATCAATTCAAGAGCTTCCCTGATACTTCCCGCATTGCACAGCCCGCTCATCAACATGTTATAAGTGTGAAGATCCGGTAACATGTTAGTTTGCTTCATCAGCTCCACAATCTGAAATGCTTCCTTCAATGAACCATGCTTACAGTAACCAAACACTAAATTATTGTAAGTAACTTTATCTGGCACCAATCCGTTCTTCTTCATATTCAACAACAGTTCCTTAACATCATTCAAACGCCCTTTCTTAGACATTGCTT